GGATGGATGGATGAATGATGGATGGATGATTGATGGATGGATGGATGGATGGATGAATGATGGATGGATGATTGATGGATGGATGGATGGATGGATGAATGAATGATGGATGGATGATTGATGGATGGATGAATGAATGATGGATGGATGGATGATTGATGGATGGATGGATGGATGGATGGATGGATGATGGATGGATGGATGGATGGATGGATTTATGATAGATGGCGGATGGATGTTTCTTAGAGCTACAGTGAAAACAGACTCTAATCTGGATGATCTACATTTAATGAAACATAGATTTAATATAAAAATGGTTCTGATTTCCGTTAATCCAGCCCATGTACCACCCGTGGTCCTCGTACCACAGTTTGAGAACCATCGGTCTATGACATCATAAAAGATCAAAGCTAGTTCCTTGCTGTGTTCTTACTGCCAAAATGTGACAGCAAAAAACAAAAGTCTGTGATTGTTCCCCCCCCCATAGAAGCTAACAGTGGGCTAGTGTTGCTCCTCTACTGTTCCACCAACAGAGGGTGCTGTGGCTAAACCAGGGCTCATTAATCTCTCTTCATCCAGCCTCCCTTATGCTCATCTAAGTGCTGCTGATGTTTGTCGGGGGACAGATTTAGGAATATTTCTCCCAGACTATTTGAGGAGGATGATCTCCAGCCTGAAACGCAAAGCTGCACATGAATCCCAGCTGCTAGAGCTTTTTATCAGAGGCGGTTGATTGCAGGTTTTCTGGTCAGGTTCTGCATCTCCTGCTTTCCAGATAATGTTTGTGTCTGTGTGCGTAGGCGAGGCGTGCTGGTGGACCATCCATCCAGCGTCGAAGCAGCGCTCAGAGGGAGAGAAGGTCAGAGTGGGAGATGATCTCATCCTGGTCAGCGTCTCCTCGGAAAGATATCTGGTCAGTAGTTGATCTGAGCGAGAAAGTGTGAGGAACTCCCGTTTCTCCTTTTATCTTTTTTCTTTCTTTGCCTTTTAAAACTTGTTCCTGTTTTTTATAAAAAGCACTTCTTCTGTTTGCCCTTCTATAAAGTGCTTTTTGGATATGTAGTGAACTTTGTTCCAGTATTGCTGCAAGCAAAGAGGATTTTTAAATAGAAATTTGAAAAGAGAAATCCGTAAATTAAAACTTTGAAAGATATTTAAATTCAATTTCAATAGTTTCAATCATTTATTTTTTCTATGTCATTTTTTAAGTTTTTAAGTTTTTTAAACTTCTTACACGTTATTTATAGATGCGTTTCAGAAGTGTGATGCCTCTCCTCACCACCGCCAAATTGAATACTGAACGCTTAGCTTAGCTCTCCCCCTCTGACCAGAATGGATTGTTCTGATTTAAATCCCTAAACGACACACAGAGAAAAACGGTATTCCTGGATGTGATCCATACGAAGTCCCTGCAGACTTTTTTCAACGCCTTTCTTCAACTGACAGGCTTCCTGATTTTTCCTTTCACTGATACTGTATCTTATAAACAACCCGTCCTCTTAAATGGGAGGAAGCCTGAAAGCTTTTAAAAGCACAGATTATTTTAAAAAGATAGAATCTGGAAAAAAAAATGTTTTAATTTTAAAGTTTTATTTTTGGTTTGCTTTTTTTCAATTTCCATTTACAAAACAAGTCCTTTGCTTCAACAATAATGGAGCAAAATTCACTCCATATATGATGAGTTTGTTCCTGAGGTGGAAACAGGTCTAACAGCCTGCATGTGTGCAGGAATGATGATGGTGATGCACAGACATGGCCGCCTGTGATTTGACTCATGCTGTTTCTTGCAGCATCTGTCCTATGGGAACGGCAGTCTCCATGTAGACGCAGCTTTCCAACAGACACTTTGGAGTGTGGCTCCCATCTGCTCTGGCAGCGAAGTAGCACAAGGTACGCCTTTGTACTTTTTGTTTCCCCGTCTGCGTTCATTTTTCTTCCTGTCTGCTCCAAACAACCAGCCCACTGCGTACTGCTTTCAGCTGAGACAGAGAAGATGAAAATATCTACACATTAAAAACTGATCAACTCTGAAGTGTAAAAAATGACAAATACTCTGTGAGGATAAGAGAAGAGAAGATAAGATGGACTTTTATGACTCCAGTCCAGTTTATTATTGACGTGAACCAGGGCCGCCACCAGGAATTTGGGGCCCAATGTAAGACATTGATTTTGGGCCAAAGCCAAAAAAAAATGTATGTAAGCTTTTAAACTGTTATAAGGATGCATTGATTTGTTTCATTCATGGAAAATGACACGCGCATGGCGCTTAAGCCCTGATACGAGCAAACTGCCATTGACAGACAGAGAGACCTGATACGATGTAGGAAGAAGGTTTTAGTCAATATTTTCATGCTTTGTTTCGCTGTTTACTGCTTAAAAATGAGGGAGAACACAAACATAATTTATTTCACTGTTGGATTTTCTTTTTATATTTGAATCTTCCTAACTTTTCCCCCCATACGGTGCCCCTGATGTGAACACTCAGGTATTTAAAAACCAGGGTTCCTCCAGATCCTTCAAAAGTCTTCAAAGGCATTGAATTCTTCAATATTTTAAGGCCTTTATAAAAATTGTCACCAAGTCATAAATAGGATTTATTTTTGTAATT